AAATAAATTTGTTCATCAAAATTTATTAACTGTCTTCAATTTTCCCTTTGAAACTCATATATATTTGATAAATAATTTGACCCCTTTGTAAATCAATCGTAAACGTTTCGTTCAACATTTGTTCGATCGAACAAAACTGAAGATATTTCTTCTTTTTTTAATTTATTATTTAATTATTCTAATGAGAAACGAAATATATATTGAGTTGGCAACTAAGTGAGCATGGTTACTTTTAACAAAAATCTATTGAAAATACAGGTCTTCGGGACCTAGAAAGAGATAGAAGAGAGAACATAAAAATTATATGCGAACACGAAGTCATTTTCCTATGGATTTACTACTGCAATTTATTTTATCTTATCGTACACACAGTTATTATTTAAATTTATCTCCCCTTTTCTTTTACGTTACTTGCATTTCTTCGTACGATTTTCTCAGCCAATTTAAAATGTTTTTCTTAAAGAAAAAAAAAAGAAAGAAAAAACTGCGTATTCTTTATTTCAATCGAGTCATTCGCAACAATCCTTTCTCGCAATCTTCTTCTCCTGGATTATTTTATTTTCCAAACTCTTTATATTCGTAAAGTAAATCAAGAAAATAAGGATACAAAAATACGAAAAAAAAAAAAAAGAAATTGGAAACGAAATATACTATACACGGCAAAACCCGATAAGAATATTAAATGAGAAGAAGAAGAAGAAGAAGAAGAAGAAGAAGAAGAAGAAGAAGAAGAAGAAGAAGAAGAAGAAGAAGTAACAAAACCTGAAAACGTAACATAACTTATATTATAAATCATTCTACGATGTAACATAAATTCGGAACGAAAAGAAAAAAACGAACAAAAAGAAGAAGAAAATAAATAAAAAAAAAAAAGAATAATAAAAAAAAACGTATGACGAAGGTATAACCATATGTCGTTGATAGAAATCGAAAAGCTTTGGTATATTACGTATACACACGTTAATTACTGTTCACTATCGAACTGTTATATCAATTTTATACGCCTCGTAAAACATATTTTATGCGACACGAAAGAGTATTAGGAACGATCGATATCTCATCTAAACATCTAATATTGCATGTTTCTCTTCTTAACTATGGCATTGAAAGTGAAAAGTACTTCTTAATAGTCACTTAAAATAACTTTTTTCTTTTCTTTTTTCTTCTCCTCTTCCTCTACCTTTCACTCTATTTTTATTCTCATAAACATAAACTCGTATATTATAGTGAACCGCGCGTGACTTGTTTCTTTCTGTTTGAGGAGAGAAAAAAAAATATAAAAAGCAACATGGTCATCGACCTTCGTAGAATCGATAATACCTGTGCATCGAGATTGGTATAATGGGGTTTGTTAAAATGTTTAACGAGAGTTCGAGAAACGGAAGGGGGATAAAAAGGGTGTTTTTTATTTGTGTGTGTGTTTTTTTGTTTTAATAGAATAGAATTAGGAGAGTTATAGGTGAAATTCAGGATTCGTAGTTGTATTTAGTAGGAAGTTACTGGTAGGAAGATTGGGAGGGGGTGGGAGACTAATCGATGATGAAAGTTAATTATTAACTATGTTTCCCCGGGGGCTATATGCTCGAAGATGCTCAATGTACAATGCATTTGCATTTATATTAACAATATGCACAGAAACGTTGGTGGGTTGCATTTAAGCATGGTCTTATACGTATTACTAACCAATGTAAATTTTCAATCGATAAGAAGAAGACTAGTTTAATTTTATAAAAGTTGGATAGTAAAGCACATATACCTTATCTAATGCTATCTCTCTAATCCTTACACGATATTAAAGATTAAAATATTATATTACAATTTTATGTATTTAAAACGTGTTGAAGATAAATTTCAAACATAAAAGCACTCGAAGTATATCTTCTTGGATATTTCCCTGTAGTAGATAAACGTATGTGTGTGTGTGTGTGTGTGTGTGTCTAAGAGAGAGAGAAAGAGAGAGTCAGGTATTGAGTTTGTAAAGTGGAACATGACTACAATGTGTCTATCTCGCTTTAACGATGCCAACTTTTCTAGCTGATAAGGTTTAAAGCGGACAGCATACAAAATATTATTTTAAGTCTGCGGATACTCTCTCTCTCTCACTCTCTCTCTCTCTCTCGTTATAACGCTAGTTACCATCGTCAAACGAAAAACGAATTTTCACCGATGTAAATGAAAAAAAAAAAAAAGAAAAAAAGGAAGGGAATCGTAATTCGAAAAAAGATATAACTTCATCTCGTTTCGAATGATATGGATTTAATTATGCATTTTTTTTTTCTTTTTTTTTTCCTAGTCACGGTTTTCTTTGTTAACCATTACATTACAGATGTATATTTATTACGAATATAAAATTGCATTATATTTTAAATGCAAAAGTAAAATGAAATTATGTTCGTACTACCTTTTTTTCCTCCACAAATGGTTTGAAATTGTTTGTTACATTTTTTTCCTCTTCGTATATTCGTAGAAGAAAAGAATTTAATTATTGATTATAAAAAGATTACAAAATAATTTTGTAGTCGATTTAATTAATCTAACTGATGATAATAATACTTCGTTTTATTTATTTTCTTCTGTTCAATTTAAATTTATGCAACACAGATTTATAGAACAATGAAGATAGAGATAAAGAAGAGAGTATGTTTGGAATACGAGAAAGATATAAGAGGTTTCAAATATTTCTGTTCAATGTAACATGAAAATATCAATTTTTCTGTATATTCGGTATCATACCAGTATATATCGTGTGAATAATGTAATATGTACTATATACATTTCGGTGATCATATATTCTAACATAGACTTTAATTATGCATTCATCTGCAATGCTTTATTTTTCACGATGGAGAGAAAGAGAAAAAAAGAGAGAGAAAGAGAGAGAGGTGAAAGAAAAATCTAAAAATAAAAGTGTCCAGTGGAAAAAATAAGATTATTGCTAAATTATACCGTCCATAATTAATAACGCCTTAAATTATAATTCATCGTGACGATGAATAATTGGAAACGGTGGAATGAATTATTTAAAGACAACAATTTTCCTACGAGAATACTAATTTCTGAATTATATTACAATAATATATACATATATCTTTCTCGAATTTATATTAAAACTGAGTCTAACATTTACGATGCGAAGTATTTTACAAAATTAAAAAAAAATTAAAGATCGTTTCGAGTAATCGATAATTCGTTGAATATTTTGATCATTTAAAAAAAAAAAAACATCGAATTAAATTGCGAGAAATTTTCAAGAATTTAATTAACAAAAAGATAATATATATAGGAGAATGAATGATTAGAGTAAAGTAGTATTTTTAAGAGTGCGAAGAAGAAGAAAGAACCCAAATCCTTGCGAATACGTGTAAAGACACCGAAGTAAATCATCTCGAGAATGAGTAATGAAACGAATGAACATAATTCTAGGAGTGTTAAACGAGCGTTTCACAGCAACGCGATACCGTTATTACTTATCTTGGGTTATGTTTCTGTCATTTGAAGATATTTCACAGTATCACACGATAACACGTAGAAATAAAACGTACGTGCGTTGCTGCAAAATTTTCATACACGATTATTACTAAAGAGATAAATCAAAAAAATAATTTCTTTCATAATTCGAATATATATCGAAATGATTCTTTTCGTTTAATTAAAAAAAAAGAAAAAATAAAACATCTAATATATGGTGAAATTAAATAAGAAAATAAACAACCGAATAAGAAAATTGCACAGGTTATTATTTGTGATTTGTTGGTATAGTGACAGATGTAGAAAAGGTTAGTTTGTGAGCAAAAGGGATTCTTGGCAGTTGGATTGACAGTAAGGGACGTAGAAACGTCTCTGAAAAATAAAAACTTGAAAGAGAAAAAGAAAAAAAGGCAAACAGGACGAGACCGAAGGGAGAGCATCGAACCGGCGCGCATCTTCCAGAGTATGCACAGCCGTTCTCTCTTTTGCGCATGTACGTAAAAGTAACAGTAGTAGTAGTAGTGTAGTAGTAGTGGTAATAGTAGTAGTAGTATGAGAGAAGTGTCGATTGAGACTCGTTTAAGAATGTTTCATAGGTATATTAAAAATGATCAGAATAATTTGAAAAAATTATTGATTATTCCGACAAGTCTTATGAAATTTCTATAAAAATTAGAAATTTTTTTACGAGGCCGTTTAAAAGTTACAACCTTTTTATTAGTTAGAACAAATTTACATGTACTTAACGTGGAAAACCTGTTTTCAGGCCGAGTTAAGTGAACAAATAATAATGACAAAATGATTAGAAAAATTCGTGAAATTGTAAACTTGTAGATTACATATCCGAAAAACGTATAAGCGATTAACATTTTTAGTGATTTCAATATTAATTACGAAGAAAAAACAAGTAAAAATGAGTGATAATTACGATATTATTGAATGCAGAGTGAGAATTCACAGAGAAAACGTTGCAATCTCGTCATTTTTAATATATCTACGAAACATCTTTAATACGATCCACACAAGAAGTTAGAGATACTAAAAAAGAATATACGTAAAAGAAAACTCACCTTGATTCAACTGCCATGATGAGATAGAAACTAGTTTTACACCACGAAATAAAAGAATTCGTTGCAACGCGTTGATTTCAAATCAACTGCTGGTATGGTACGTACGGGGGTAATATTTTAAAAATTTATTATGAACTTAATTATCACGGTTAGTTATTATTCTCGTCCAATTGTGACACCTGTCTGAATAAGAGGCAGATGAGAAAAAAAAGGCATAAAATATCAACAAATGAGAAACGAATTTATACGTAGAAGCCGTGGAGGAGAGGGGAGGGGAGGGGAGTTGGGAGGGAATCGATAAAAGAGAGAGAGAGATACAGATTAGCAGACAGATGATACTTCACGACGAATCGTAAATTTATAAATGAATCGTAGCGACCAGTAACGCAGTTATTTTGTATTGTTTCCAATTCTGATATAGAAGAGGGGGGTCCCCTGTTGGTTGGATTGGTGGGATTTTATTATCAGGTGATAAGCCACGCGAATAACTTATTTTGACGTTGTAGAGGAAAGAAATAACAACGATTAGTGTTGTTGGTTTTAAACAATAAGAGGGGAATAAAGGGGGAAAAAAAAGAAAAAAAAAATATAAACCGAAAACGATGAACGCGTTAACGTTGCACAGCACAGTACAACACAGCAAAGGTTAACTTTCAACGCAACTAGAAAAAAAGTGGAACTTATTGACGATGCATTTCACGAATTACATGCAGCAACACTAAACTCCTCCTGACGCTACTACCACCGCTGCTGCTACTGCCATTGCCAGTGGTACTACTACTACTACTACTAATACTACTACAACACCAACGGAGATGGCAATGATGGGACTTTGTCCGTCGTATTCTTCGTCTTCCTTCGTCGGCTTTACAGATTCCACGCGTTCCTCATAGTTTCCTTCCATTTCTCCAAGATAAAGCTTTCAACTTTACCGCCTGACGCGTATAAATATCCTCTCTTATGTTATTTTTATATATATTTTAATTTGAACGTCGAATTAGGATAAAATATTTCTCGCATATTTGAGATAATTACTTTATATGATCTGAAATTATTCTTATTGTCAGTTTTTTAATCAAAATTTACATTAAATTATTTTTAATTCTTCTGTTATATATTATTTTATAATCGATCATGTGTGTTCCAAACGTTATTATTCTATTTCTTTTGGGGATCATTTATTTTTTTTACTTTTCGATCGATTTATTTGCTATTGGCAAAATGAGAAAATGAGAAAATGAAGGGAAAATAGCGATACCTCTGGGATTGGGGCCGGGGGCAGGGAGGGAACGAAGGGCTTTGTTTCGGTACTCGGTTTTAGAGTCAAAAACAGAAGGTTTTAATCTGCCTTTGTCGACCCAATCGATAATCAACCACGTCATAGTACATATATAACCATAGTATAACAGTGCTACCAACGTGTTGCTCAAAATTTTACGGGTTGGGAGATTGCGCACTTTTATATTGCCGTGAAACGAGAAAAGTTCTTTTTTTTTGAACGAAGGTAAATATCCCGTTTGATTATGTGTACGACATATTTATGAAAATAATAATAATAAATTGGGTTTATTTTTCTAATTCGTTATTATCCATTGAGCAGATTTACACGATCGCGAGTTACCTTATCGACCGAGTCGAGTTAAACACAAAGTTATCAACGAACAGCATATTTGTTCGATGGTATTCGAAGGAAATAAACGGTTTCTTTTAAAAAAAATAACCACCATACCGGTAAATATGATACGTAAGAGAATAACTTTTTGCTATAGGGGGGTTAATTTTGTTAGCGGAATAATTAATTATATTAATTATTATGGATTATACGTAAAATAAGCTTAAAAAGGATTATACATCGAATTTATTATTGGATAGAATTGAAACTTTTGATAATTTTTTTTTCTTTACAATTTATTCTCAAGATTTATATATATATGGGAAGAAATAATCACTTATTCGACAAGTACTCTACGTTTATACATATTCATCTAAAAAATTCACTCTCAATCGTTATTAACAAATTCATCTATGCTATATAATTGTTTACGTATATTCGTTTAATTAATAAAATAATATATAATATTTTAAGTATTAAATATGCACATTGGCATCGTACAAGTCATAGAAACATTTATGGCATTGTGGAATTCGTATCTCATTCATTCTTCGATCGTAACTCATGCTAAAATATATTTTTATGTATATATATATATACATATATATAATTATATTTTATCTATGTATTTATTATAATTATATATGTATATATATAAAATTAAAAAAGTTTTTACTTCAAGATATAAGTATATCTATTATATTATTTCTATTATTTTTTATTTCTTACTAANAAAAAAAAATGCATAAAATAATATATTTGTGCATCATCGAACATGCGTACGCAATATTAACTTAATCTAATACGTATTATTCAAGCTTGATCTGATACAATATACTAATTTTTTCTTTCATTTAGAAAACATAAATGAAAAGAAAAAATATAGAAACACATTAAACGCGGTGATCAAGTATGAATGATATAGGAAAATAACAGAAAGAAGAAGAAAAAAAAAAAAAGAAAAAGAAAAAATATCTCTAAACGCGAAATATTCGTTAGATCAATTAGATGAGTATTTCTCGTCTAGATGCAAATCGTGATCATCTTAAATCCTTTCCGAACGTTTTTTTTCTTGGGGAACGGGTAGGGGGAATTCGCGTATTTATTCGTGACAAAAAAAAGAAAAAAATAAAAGGAAAAAAATAAAGAGCGAGAGTAAAAGATAAGAAGAAGAAGAAGAAGAAAAAAAGTCAATGAAAATAAGACAAATGTGTGAATATCACCAGTCACATTGGCCGGATCGTCAGTCTGATACCGAAGCTAGAACGCTTCTGATGCATTAATATTATTATTATTATTATTATATTATTATTAGATCGAGACTCTCGGAATACGTTCGGTATCGGTGTTTAAGAATAAGCGGTGACATTTTTTTCATGACAAATTCAACGTCCATTAAATAATGCGAACAAATTAAATGGCAGAATAAAAAAAAAATACGTTCCTAAAATCGATGGATATTGTGGAACTTTTCTTTTTTTTTGAACGGCCCTGTTCTAACGTAGTTTTAAAACTATTTTATGGCACGTATGTATATATTGTATATATATATTTATATGTATATTGGATCTCTATTAACAAATAATCATCTCACCGAGTTTGGAAATAATTCGATCGAAGTATTCTTTTTTGTTGTTTTTTTGTTGTTGTTGTATCGTTCAAATACTCAACTTGATTACATCACAGCCTGGCAGTATCCTCGTACGAAGCACAATAATAATATCATGACACTTTTTGTTTTTGTTTTAATCGTTAATACAATATTTTAATAGACTAGTCGTTTTTTTTTTTTTTCAACTGAACATTTTTCATAATCTCGTACCTTTGGAGATTTCATTGGTAACTTCCAACGTGACACCCTTCAATGCGTTTAATTTTTGAATGTAACCATTATCGAAATGATTTTTACCGTTATTTTGTAGAGTACCTTGATTCGTATTGGTCTTCTCATTTCCAGTAGAAATCGAGGTTACGGAGGAGGATGTAGTTGCGTTTATTGGATTGTTACCATTGTCGAGACGCGTGCTACTTGCGTAAAGTCTTTTTTTGCCTGGGAATAGTGTGGACAATTTGTAGGCTAGCGGATGTAACAAGTGTAACTCGTAAGCATCCTCCTTGGTATTAGTCGTTAGTAAACTGACTATTATTCCAACTAGAATCGTCGATAAACTGCCTATCAAGGCGTAATACATGTAAGTAATAGCGTAGATAAATGTTAGTGTATTCTCAGGGGGCTCTGGATTTAGCAGAGTCGATGTTTTATCATCCCAATTGTTGACAATGGTCGAGACGTTCCATACGGGATTTAACATGTTGCTCGGTTTCGTGATCCAAGATGAAAAAGTGTCGTTTTGGCAGCCATCAGTTGACAACGGTAACACATCGTCTTTAGTTTCAACAGTTAAATGTCCGAATGTCAACCACAGTGTCATGAAATGACTGAAAATCATTCCCGCGGATGCACCCTTCCAATTGGCACACGGCACGAGCATTGCCAATATGAATACACCTAAAAGTGGTCCGGAAGTTGCTGAGGTCATTAACATTGATGATTCTATCACACCGGACAACGTGGCAACGACGAAACTTAAACCGATTATTATTAAACCGTAGAACACGGATAATATCTTGATCGTTCGTAATTGCATGGTATCCTTGAGATTACTCAATGATGGAATTTGACTTAGAAAGTCCTCGAACGTCACCGTTGCTAGAGAATTTAGGTTGGATACGGCTAATGTTAGCGCACTGTTGAACAAAGTCGCCATTACAAGACCCAATAGACCTGGCATGCTGAGGAATTTGTCTTGAACGAAGAACGGTACTATCTCGTCGAATTTCGAGATGTAACCCATGCTCAGTGGATCGCAATCGGCGTAGTTGGCGAAGATAACCATTCCCACTACCCAGGATAAGGAGAATAGTATGGCAATGGTCGGTACGTTTGCCATCATAGTTCTGAAATGAGAAATAAAACAACGGGTTAGTTTCAGTATTGGAATATACAAAAATTCGGGTCAACTTTTAGGACGATAAGAATTACACAAGAGAGTCGAGGTAAAAGAAGAAGAAGAAGAAGAAAAAGAAGAAGAAGAAGAAGTAAGAGAAGAAGAAGAAGAAGTAAAAGATAAAAGCAGCGAACTAAACTCGAGTCAGTAAAGAGAATTAGGTTCGGGATTATGTTCGACTTTACTTCCTTCGGATTATCTTACTTCTCGGCAGGGTTTGATTGGGGAGCCAAGTTTCGCGTATTTATTCTTTCCAAACAAATAATTCCCAGTCGAAGATTTATACCGCAGTGTTAGTTCGGTTTTATTATGGGTAAGAAACGTATGTCGGCCGGATGTTGAATTGATATTATTGACCTTATTGGACGTCGAGTATCTCTCATACTAAAAGTTTTGGCTTCATGCCATTTACCTCGACGAAAGGCTTCATTGATTATGTCGTAAGGGAAAACGATTTTCCTCGAATCGAAAAATACGATCTAACTGTTACAAACGATAAACTTTACCAACTTCCTTCTTCATCTTCTTCTTTTTATTTTAATGATAAATCTGGTTGTTTGATTACACATCTATTTTCTCTATCTTCCCTCCCCCCCCCTTCCCCATCTTCCCATGTGTATTATAATTATTATTAACATATTTTAAATCAGACACGATTATAAACATTGTATTGCACGCCGAGTGAATTATTTAACACACAACGTATTTTATACTTTAAGTAGATTATATTTATAATTATCTTTTGTTATCTAATGTATCATTGTAGTAGTCAAAGAATTTGAAAAAATTACCTTTTATTAATTTTTATCGAATCGATAAGGATTGATTGATCATCAATCGTGTTTCGAATGAAAATCATTTCTTTTTCAAACTACAATACAAACACGTAATACTTTGTGCTTTTTTTTTTTTTATAATAAAATCACGCGGTCGAAAACAGATCGATGTGCGTTGGCAAATAAAAATTCTTTTTTTTTTGTTTTGTTTATTTTAAATCAATACCAACGCACGACGCATCGTTACGATTTTCGTCTAGATTTCGAAAATAATTTGATATTATTTTGAAAACTCTCAGGTTACGGTGTAATTACATTCGTTAGCGGGTTTTTCTGTTTTATTTTCCCGCAAAAATTGTTACATTTTCCAGTCATATAAATATTGAATAGGGACAAACATTGTGCTAGCCTGTCGGTGGTTAAACATTTATTATTCAAAAATTGAATCCCAAGTTACTGTTACTTTTCTTTGAAACTATCCTGTGGACGTATACACACACACACACACACACACACTTTCTCTTTCATTTGACTTTTCCTTCATTTATATTATTTCTACTAGGGTTATCATAGTCGTCGTAGTAGTGTTGTCGTTGTTATCTTTTGGTGTTGCCGCGTTGTACACGACGAAGTAAAATCGAGGACGAGTTAGGAAACTTTTGCCGTCCGCCGGGAATGAAATTATTTCTCCATTCTCAAGGGACGAGAAGCTACGAGAGAAGAAGAAGAAGAAGAAGAAGAAGAAGCCTCGGATGTGTTTCGAAATAACGAAAGATAACTTGCGAATTATTTCGACGCCGGCCCGTGAACGAGAACAACAACGTGTCTCTCGTTTAAATTACTTATTCCTCTTTATTTTTTTTTTTTTTTCGAATCGTCTCATTACTCAAAGTAATCGTAATCAAAATAATATATTTATTAAATAATTGCATTTATTTATTGCCCTTTTTATTTTCTCTTTTTTTTTTTTTTCTATTTTCCATTGCACTTCCAAACAATTTTATTGTTTTGTTTTAACGGATACGAAGTATATATACGTGGAATAAGATTCTCGTAAAAAAAAGAAAAAAAGCGTGTAATAAAAAGTATTTTTTCCGTCGTTAAATTTTCCGCGAACGATAGTAATAATAAGCCAATAATATTGAAAATAACTTATTATTTTCTTCTTCAACGTGTTTTTATTGGTAAATGGCCTTCGTCGTTCTGATATTATTTCAGATCATACACGAGACTAGCATAATTTTTACAGATGGAATTTAGTAAATAGGATTAAACGTTTCGTTAAAAACTATAGGATAGATTGTTGAAAAAAAAGAAAAAAAAAAAAAAAAAAAGAATAATTATGAAGTAGGTAGATAGGTAGGTAAAACGGTACAAGGGGATTTTGTTTTAACGAAACTCTTCCTCGTTGTCACGTGATTCGAATGTTCGCGAGCGTAATTAACGAGCATGTGAACACGTCCACATCGGATCTAATTACTTCCCTTCCAGATGTTCTTGTCGAGCAAACAGTAGGAAGTCTTCGTAAGCATTCATTTGTGTCGACTGAGAGATTTCAAAACGAATATTTGAGAATACTGTGTTAAAAAGTTTTTATCTTTCAAGAGTGCGTACCATTTAAATATTCAATATAATAAGAATAATAATTGTGGGGAATCGCGTTATCGTGATGTGACATGTATTGTACGCATAACACTAATATATGATACGGTATACATTAAAAAATGCAACATTGTTATAAAAAAAAAAGTCACTTTTTTTAACAATGATCAACGATAAACAAGGCCACAGTCGAGTGATAATTTGTCTGTCGTTTGTTGTTATCATCGTCGTAATTTTCTATATGGAATAACACGATAATAACGTGTATCGAGAATGTATACGCTCGTATATAAACGAAATTATTATTAAATTATTGGTTATTTTTTTTCTTTTCTTTTTATTTTGTCAATCGTAAAATCCCCGTTTAACTCGTGATTTACCTTACCGGATATTACTTATACGGAAGCGTAAGATTGTCATAAACAATCATTAATCATATAACACGCTTATTTATTATAATAATTAATACTTTTACACATTTTGCTATAGGATCGTTTCTATAATTGCAATTTTAAATAAGTTAATATTGATTTGAAATTTATCGATACGTATCCGTGTATTAATTACGATCATTATTGTTGCATAATGTAATATAATTATATTTTTGATTTGTCGATTACTTTGGGTATTCTTTTTTATTTTCCATCATTGGATTTATCTTCCAAAAAATTTCACGACGAAATCGTAATATTTTGTACAATAGTAGGAATAAAAAAAATTCTTACTTTACAACTTCATTCTTGCTTTTCATACTGCAGTATCTCTGAACAAAATTCTGTTGACATCCGAGAATTGATAGGCTCATAAACAGCTGACCAAGCACTGCTGATACAGTTGTCACGCGTATCGTTGGGTCCATGTCGAAACTAATAGAAACAATAAAAATATTAATAAGAAGAAGAAAAAATATATATGGTATAAGGTAAACAAGATTTTGAAAATAAATGATCGATAAGTAAATTAATGTTAGGATATACACTTACTTGTAAAATTCCCAACGACCACGTTCTACGGTAACGTTGACCACCTGTTTAACACCGCCAACATCAATGGTACCTTGAACGATTAAAACGATCGATATACCGATCATCATTAATCCTTGAATAACGTCCGACAAAATGGCAGCCTTTAAACCTCCCTACATAAAAAGAAAAAGAAAAACAAATCGTTAACAATAAGTTTAAGAAAAATTAGAAGAAAATTAGAAGAATCATGAGGATTATTCAAAAAAAAAAAAACTTACCATTAACGTGAAAATAACCGATATCGTGACGATACCGATTATGCTTGCCCAATATGGTAAACCAATGACCGCTTTTAATGCAACACAGGGAGTGAAAACTGTCACAGATAAATTTAACAAGCTTCTTATAACGTAAGAAAAACTTGCAATGTATCTGACCAGTTTAGATTTGAACCTAAAACATTTCAAATAACACACATAGGTTAATAATAATGAATCTTTATTTATAATATTAATAATTGTTCAAATAATGATAGATTTACCTCATGTCCAAGTATTGATAAACCGATGTAATACCAAGATCATAGTAAACCGGTACGAAAATATAACAAACGATTGGATATGCTAAAAGCATACCATACAAAGTTTCCCACATAGCATTGCCTTTGTAATATAATTCAGAAGGATAACCTAAGAAACTTCTGACACCTAAAGTTCCTCTAGCAATGGATAACATCATAGCCCCCATGGAGACGTGTCCGGTTGCGAAGACATAATCAGCCTTGGTTTCTTTGGTTTTTCGTCGAAATTTTCCCCACAATGGTAGGACAAAGGATATCACGATGAATGCAATAAAGACCAGATAGTCTACTATCATTGAGGAAGCTTCTATAGTCATCTTGAAATGTCGTTATAAGCGGCGTTGATCCTTTTGATTCAGTAATACCAGCACCCACCCAGCAGGTAGCAGGCCAGATAGATTTGAACTATCCGTATTGAGAATGGTACTTGAAGTTTTCAAGATCGAGTCTCGAGTGTGAAAGTAATAGTAGTAATAGTAGTAGTAGTAGTAGTAGTAGTTCAGAAGAGCCGCTTAGTAAGTCTGTGTCTCTCTGAAGACCACTCGTCAGATTGCCCGTAGACGAAAGAAGTCACGTTACTTTGTCTTTTTTTTTCTCTTTACCTATTCTCCTTCTTCTTCTTCTTCTTCTTTTTCTTCTTCTTCTTCTTCTTCTTCTTCTTCAACTTCTTGTTTCTACAAAAGAAACCGTACACTAAATTCCTGTCAGCTTTCTACTTGATATCACTTATATTTATCAAAAATATGCTAATGTGTTGTAATGAATATCTATAAGTATAATATTTATTATACGTGTATGCTAATGTACACACACACACACATATAGTGTTGTGTATAGAAGTGTATCGAGTATTGTGTGGTTTATGCAATTTGCCGAAATGACGAACGTGACTGACTCGATTTGATCGATGCGATACGACCAGAACTACGATACGTACTGACTACTGCCTACCTACTATTCTACTGAGGTAAAGCACTTGACGTTATTATGCTAACGACCTAGACGAAGTGCGAAGCGATAGAGGATGATTAACACGGTGGAAGGGGAAGGGGAGACAAGAAAATAATGAAAAATAAAAGGAACAAAAAAAAAAGAAAGAAAACAAAAAGAAATGAGAAATAGGAGAGAGGGAATAGAAGCATGCGTGGTGTGCCAAAGAAGGAGGAATGAGGATAATAACGATTGGTTGTGAAAAGGGGGTGGGAGCGTGCGGTTAGCATCTGGAAAAAAATTGTATCCACTTAATGCTCTCTAGCCACATTCCTCCACACCTCCACCTCCTCTTCCTTCTCTTCTTCCTCCTTCACATCCTCTATTCTTCGTTCTTTCTCTCTCTTTCTCTTTCTATCATTTTCTTATCTGCTTCTACATCGTTTATCAGACCTGATGTCAATATATATGTATATATGTATGTATATATTAATCGCAGAAGCTTGTTCATACCCATGTGAGATAGAGAAAGAGAGAAAGAGAAAATGAATCGTAACGATTGACCCGTTCACGATCTCGGCAAGTTGTCAGCGCGTGCAAACAACTATCTACATAATTATTATTAAATGGATTCGTCATGTGATTCAACCAACGTTAAACTCATGTGACTCGAGCTCTGTTTGACGAGATAATGATTAAAAGAAAAAAAGAGAAGAGAAGAGAAAAGAAAATAAAAAGAGATGGAAAAAAGCGAAATCAAAATCATTGTCACGCGACTGTGCGAGCGTGTTGCTGCTATGTGTGTGTTCGTGTGTGTGTGTGTGTGTGTGCGTGTTTGTCAACTCTGGTTCCTATCGTTTAGACTTCTGCTTTTCGTTGTATGCGAATTTAATATTTATGATAACCCGCCGCTATCTTTTTGATGATCATTTTGGTTTGTTTTTTCTTTTTTTCTTTCTTTCTTTCTTTATTTTTTTTTAAACGAAGGATGACGCATAGTTAATCAGTCAGTTTCGTTATTGTATACGAAAATTTCGTCGTTCCGTGAACGATGATGATAATAATAGTAATGACATTTTTGGTCTTTTTTATTTTTTTTATTTTTTTTTGTTCGTCGATTTCTCAATTCAGCGTGTATAATCTTTTATGACGTTTGTCGGTATAAGAAATTCCTCAAAATTTTCCATTAAACGTAAGACGAGAAAGTTTATTTTCTTATAAACGATTCGATTCAACACTCGATTCGATTTTAATTACTTTACAATTCAAATTGAATGATATATTATTTCACGTGTTTCGATTGAAAGTAATACAAAATTTTTGAATCCCATGCGATAATAACACACGTCTGATATCAAAGTAATTCGGCACGAATTGTGCTAAATTTAAGGATGGTTGACCCATTATATACGTAAGTCGGGACAAATTCAATTACAATATGTCGTACACGTTTACGTATCATAGAAATGTTCCTATCTTTCGATAAAAACACGATAAGAAATATTCCAATCGATTTAATTAACATTAAGATCATTATACTTCGCGCGTTTGCATGACACGTAAGTAATTTTTGTGACATTTCTCTCTCTCTCTCTCTTTTTCTTTTATAAAATAAGATAGAAATAATTTTTATCCGACAATGTGACGAAATTTCTATTGAAAGACCACGATGATGGTTCGTTTCATTTCTATTATCCGTTCTTTTCATATTCTCTCGCAGGATCGTTAGTTGAATTTTTCTTTTTCTTTCTCGGCCCAATTAAAACGGTGCTTTCGTTTATACATTAAAAAAAAAAAAAAACAAAAAAAATAATCCAAAAAAAAAAAATAAAACAAAGTAAATAATTGTTAGCCAGAGTGTTTCGCGGCGAAGAAAACCGAAAAAAGAAAAGCGTTTACCGACTTTGAATCGAAACAAATTAGAACGTAGATATTGTAAAAAGAATGTTAGATAAGTATGGGGAACGGGTGGTGGAAGGGGGGAAAGGTGGCGGGGTGGGCAGGATTAATTTCTAATTGGCGTTAGTATTCACATTACGAACGATATTATTTTTCCAAAGAGGTTCTATTTTCCTCCTCGTTTATTTTCCCAAGTATTTTCCTTTCGATAATGAAAATTTTTTACTCGGGAAAAAGAAATAAAAAATAAAATAGAGATTAAGAAAAAGATAAAAGGGGGGGAAAAAAAAAGAGAGAGAATTGTAAAGTAATCGAAGGAAATCGAAGCAAATGATTTGTCGACAATAAAAAAAGGGAAGAAAGAAATGAAGGAAGAAGAAAAAATTGGTCGACCCTTTTCCTTCATATCTGAACGGATTACGTATACGGATTATTTTGGTCTTGCACGTTTTGGTATCACGTTGAAAATCACTGCGGTGAATTTAAAAACGCACGTTTTTAAATAAAGAAACAAAATAGAGAAACTAAGAGAGAGAGAGAGAGAGAGAGAGAGAGAGAGAGAGAGAGAGAGAAAATGCAGAACGATGCATTTTCCGTTCTCTTCTAAGTTTTATTTATATTTTTTTTTTTTGTATACTTTTCTTTCTTTTCTCTTTATTTTTTTTTTCTTCTTCTTTCTTTTTTTCTTTTTCATCCACTTTTCCGGCAACGGACATCGCGCGATGACGCAACACGACCTACATTTAATAATAGAAGCCGATTCAAAAAAGTAGCGTTATCTCTCTTTCGGGTGTTTTTGCAAAGTGCAGAAGTATGCGAGAGGGTGATAGGAAGGGTGGAAGGGAGAAAGGGAGGGTAGGAGGGACGAACGATCCAGGGAGAATGTTCGTCGAGGAGGAGATGTGCAGTGGGTGCTTACTATTCATGAACTTTCTTTTTATCAACGGTGTACCCATGTACGATGGTAGTAGAGAGGCTTTACTATCATCACTGTACTTCCTTTTTTTTTTTATTTTTTTATTTCTCTTCCTTTCTTCCTTTCTTTTTCTTGTTTTTTGCTTTTTATTTTTTTATTTTCTTTTTGTTTAACTTCACGTGTTGTGCGAAAGGTACGAAACAGTATTGAGCTTGGGGGTTCTCATGTTATTTAAAGGAAAAAAAAAGGATTATTTTTTCCTTCTTTTTTCGCCCCCCTTTCTTTTCCTCTTCTTATTTTTCCCCCTTCTAACGTAATATAACGCAGAAAAGAAGAATATACTGTGGGTGCTTTCTCCCCGTTTAAAAGGTAAATCTAATTTTATCTCGAGAGAAATTTGGCGCGTAATATACTTTGATTATTGGGTATAGTTTAAGGAAAAAAAAAACAAAAAAAAACATACAAAAAAGAAAAAAAATATATTAAATGAAATCCCAACACACACATTTTGCGTGGATCGTTTATTCTAACAAACGCGTGTATTATTACAGCATACTACGTATACATAAGTCATTTAAATTTTTCTTTCTCGAACATACTTCTTTCGTTCTCTCTCTCTCTCTCTCTCTCTCTTTTCCTCTCTTTATCTCTTTATCTCTTGAAAGTTACGATTAACTTATTTACAATGAATATTAATGAGAGCTCACGTTGTGGCCCACGCCGGTGTATCATTCTTCTCATCTCTCTCTATCTCTCTTATTAAATCGACCAAAAAAAAAAAAAAAAATAAAACAAACGCTTCGAGAGCATCAATTTTCCGTACGAATTATTTCAATTTTTCTCGTATTTATTTATTTATTAATCGAGAATGTGTACGGGCGCGTGTCTGCGTGTCTCCGTGTGTGTATTTGTTCATTGGTTTTTGTCAACACGCGTAAATCAAATTAACGAATCTTGCCGTAACTTTTTCCCCTTTTTCCCCACCCGCCCTGCCACACCCTAAATTTGTTGTTTTCCGAATAAAAGTATATTGAAATTTTCGAAAATTTCCCAAACAAAAATTTGCAAATTTACAAATACACGAGACGAATGGAACGTGCCCTAAGCCTGACCCTGTTATAACGCATATACACACACACACACACACACACATATACACGATGATACACATATTTGTATGGTATGAGTGCGTGCACATTCGTAGATGGTATGTACTACTCGTCCTTGTAGAAGGAAGGACTTCTAAAAATGCGAGAACAGTGCGACAAAACGGTGCCACAAATTCATGAACCTTTTCCCCCTTACTCCAATTCCCCTCTCTCACTCTCTCTCTCTCTCAGTCTTTCTCTTTTTCTCTCCTACGTGTCGTCTTGGCTACGTTCCATTTCTCACTTTATTTTGCTTGCTCTTTTCTTTTTTTCTTTTGCCCTTAACGAATCCAATTTTCCCTTATCCTTTGTTCCTCCTTCTTTCACTTCGGTCACATCAGCCCAACCGTCTTCTTTCGATACACACCACCCTTTTTTCGTTTAGAGGGGGTGGGTAGGAAAGTGCACATTTTTACAATACGGTGTATACGAGCGGTATCTTTGCGTCCAATGAGAAAGAGAAAGAGAGAGAGAGAGAGAGAGAGAGAGGTACTTTTCCCTTTGTGCCATTAACAAGAACGAAAACTCATTGTTCCTCACTTGCACCTTTTTTTTTATTTTCCTATTTTTCCCTCCAACCCCACATCCCCCTTCTTACACCCATCCACCCTTTTACCCTCCTTTTTGTTTTTTTTTTCTTTCTTCCTTTCTTTCTTTCTTCCTTGTTCGGTTTCATTTCTTTACGTTTTTCACCCTTTCCTATCTATCTATCTATTTCTTTCTTTCTTTATTTATTTATTTCTTTCTTTCTTTCTCATTTATTCCATATGTCATCGTTATC